CCCCATTTACTGGCTGCTAAAGACCGTATTCATGATCTACTTGTACCTGCCGCCGTTCAGAGGTGCTCGAAAGCTGTTCGAGCAGTGGATAAACCCTGTGCGAACGATCATTTCTGGCGAGCTGGACAAAGGAGTGATCGTCGGCGCCCACCCCTTGCTCCTGAAGACGCTGCACATTGACAAACAGTTGCTAGAACGGACAAATGTGACGACTCTCGTGAGCATTTTCCGTCATCCGGCCATTCAAAAATTCATCAGTTGCTTTCTGCCATTGGTGACAAGTGCAGTGGCATCCGCTGGGGCTCGTTCTTCCCCGGACTCACGTTCCCCATCTGATCAGACGGCAGAGGAAGATGCCACACCGCGGAGCAGCGTCGGCACGTCTGACGCTCCGCTCGCGTCCCAAAGTCGTGGCGGGTTCGCCACTGATGTTAAAGACACTGAAGCCTCAGAGAAAAGTGAAGGAAGCACGTCGACTTCCAGTTCTTCCTCATCGCCAACGAATGATATAGAATATTTGTTGGATGTTTTTAAAACCTTCTCGAGAATGTTAAAAAATCCCTCTGACCATGCTCGTTCGTTGGACGCTGACTCTAAGTGAAGTGACTGTTTAAATTGTTACCAAAAATTGTGCCTTGATGACAGTGTAGACCAGCTTTGAAAAGCAAACATTTTCGTTACAGTTTCTTATGCAATGTTTGTTTAACAACTTAATGGAATTTTTTTTAATTCAAGGTTTGAGTCATAGACAGGTCAAAAGAGATTTAGTTACAGCGACGACATGTCTGTTACCTTATTGACTTGCGCTGGCAGTTCAAAAGGTGCTTTGAAATTCCAATTCTTACACGGGTCTCTCCGGTCTCCTTAGATGCATAAATGGTAAATGAATTTTGCAGAGGAAAAAATAGCTATTTATGGCATTCATGCAATGCTAGGTTAGTAATAAGATGGACTTTTATCGTTCCAAGGTGTGAGCCCTACCTGTTGAAGGAAGTATAATGATTTTAGTAGCATATATCGTTACAACAAATATCTGCATTGAACCTGGAACTTTCTGACTTTCACTGGCAACTCAGATAGTGCAATTAGTGCCGGTTGTTACGGAGGCCTTTCTGGTCAGTTTTGATGCGTAGATGAGAAAAGAATTTTCGCTCTTGCAATGATTTATTAGGACATGGGAGTCTGAACGATTGCAGCATGTGTTCTCATGGAGACGTCCGTTGCGCAGGTTCCAGGACAGCGTTCATTAATTTCATGCAAATTTAGTAGCCTGTTATGTTCTGAGTTACGATATGCGACGGAAGTACTCACTTCAATGTGAGTAACATAACTGAGCTCTACAAAAACAATGCTGCAACCAATCTAACTCAGCTACTTCGGGCGATCGGTGATCCTTTGATTCAGTATTAATTCATTCCTGCTTTTGTACAGTGTTGGAAGCAGAAACTGGCATCTTGCATTGTATTAATAAGTACTTAACACCGTACTAGTACTACTAATGCGTTACTGCCGCTATCATACCTATTTAAGCCTACTGAGGTCTTTAGCGCTTCTTCATGTAGATACGATTAGAAAATGTTTTGTGACACCATCTGATGGAAATTTTCTTTCTTATTTGTAATGATGGAGAATGCAAATAAGGTTACGCTTTGTGGTGATTGCCACACTGGATAGTCAGCCACCAGGTGGGTCAAGTGGAAGTGTAGCCACAAGGCACGCTCGCATCATACTGCATGGCCCTACGCCTCTTCCATCCTGGTATGACCAGACCTAAATGCCAAGCTGCTCCATTATTCTCAAGTCACCGACTTACTACCTGTTTCTCGGTCGGTTGCGTCAAAGCAACGTGAGGTTAATTCCTTGCTCAAGGGAATTTGCGGTAAAATTCTCACTCCCGTCACCTTCAGAGTTAAAAGCCGACTTCTTAGCTACTATGCCACAATATTTCCGAGCGAAACCAGTTGCGCTATTAGTGCTAGACATGCGATATCTAATTGCTGAGGTCAAAGGTATTGTATCTGTGTCTATACCGATGTAGTGAAGGGAAGTTGTTCAGAGCCTTGTTTTCATTTTACCAGTTTTACCGCCTCACTGCCTTATAATAACTTATAATGACAAATATCATGTCCATTTAGATTGATGGCATCATGCACATCCCAATTTTGACTACGATATTACACTGAACTGTCCGTTTAGAACGTAAGCGACATGACTATATCATTATGTTTTGGTTTTGCGAATTATAGGAATATTGACGCATATTCGGGAATCTCTGTACATTATCAAACCGTGGTTCTTTTGGAATGATGTGGGTTGGAGTTTTGGTCACGCCTTCATTTCCGAGGTTAATGAATAAGTACCACTTTGTGGGAAACAAGAGGAAACTACAAACTATGATGGTCGCCGAGCCGTAGATACGGCATCAGCAGAGAACACTAATACACTCATGACCTGGAAACGGAAATTAGCGCATGTAATTAGGCATAATAAATAGAGGGTGCCATAAATGACAATCAGTCATGGAAATATAAGGGAGACCGACAAGCTGACAGCCATGTTTGTTGCGCAAACTAATAAACTTCGTTTGATGTTCATGACTCTGTTTCCTTTCTTTTCGACAGAACTGCCTTATTAGATTCACAGCGTTGTCAACCCTGATTGCGATGTTCTCGTTAGACGACCATTTCCGAATTCACGGAAAGTCTTCGCGGTTATCATAACAGTTCAGAAGTACTCACTGTTATGTATTTCACTTGTCATAGCACCATTTGTGGTATTTTTCTTTCATAGGGCTTCAAATGAATGTCTTGAAGGTAAAATCTACAGCTGATCGGTCATGTTTATTTTCTAATAGGTTACACTCATTAATCTACCTCAGAAAGTTGGAAGGACATTTTTGACACAGAAGCCACTTTCAGCTGTGAGTTCTTCTACATGTCGATATAGCAATTTTGGCGGAAGTGAAATGTGCCTCATATTACTTCCCTCTGGCATGCATTCATTATTTAAATCACTACCTGCTCTCTGTAACCTCGACATCGATGAGGCCTATTTGAAAGCAGATACTGGCAAATGAATGATTCATAGCACTAAGGATAACGTTTCTCAGCATTGTAGGATTCCGTGAGTGTTGTCTCCTGGTTATGGTTTAAAGCAACCAGTTAGCTTACACTAATTTTGTCATAGAGAATGACTCATAAAACCCGTTCTATTGGGTTACACAGTGCAAATGCAACCGTTTACTTCAAGCGGTGTAGACTGCCACTTAAGCACATCAAGCCTCCATGAGATTTGTATAATGCCAGAGCATCGCGTACAACAGCATGTTTGTGTTAGCTAAAAGAATACTTGTTTGTAACAATACTGGAGGATTTGTGGTTCCAGCAACATACATGCTCACCCCATTGGCCGAAATACTTTTATAGCCGTTAAGCATCATATATTGAGTTATGGCTTAGAATCAACTAGTCGGTTTGCACCAATTCTGACGTAAAGAATGAATTATACTGCTACTTGCACCGAGTTATACACTAAAGTTACATCTGCATGCTGCTAGAAGCCTAGGGAACTATTTAAGCATGTATAGGTTGTCTGAGCAGCTATAATACGAGCATACAAAACTGCATCACACCTTACGTGTTAATGGCATTAAAGAGGTGATACGCATTAACAACGCCAGGAAGACGTATCATTCATTAGACATTTAAGTCCACTCATTTCACTACGCGTCAGCTTCTGACTTTAGGATATACCCCGTCTTACCTACATTCCCTAGCTCTGGTCTTTGTCTGCTCTCCGACATGAATGTTGATGCTGGCTTTCTCAAAGCAACATTCACAGATTCATAACACTTATGAAAACTGTGGTGCCGATTTTTGCTTTTTATACCATCTGCCATGAGTGGCTTATTTTAAAAGCAATGACTACAACCATGTGACAATCGTAGCGTGTAGTCTCCTATTTCCTTTCTACAGAATGACACTCATTTATCAACCGGAAGGGCGAGTGACCAACCCTGACCGAGGGTTGAACTCAGAACCAACCGGTTCTGAATTCGACGATCTACCGATCGACCTGTCTGAAGCGATGTGTGATAAATTCCTTGCTCAAGGAAATTCGTGAATACGACAAAGACTGCGCGAGAGAGGAATCACGGCCGGCACCTCCGAAGTACGAAACATCTCTTAGACACTGTGTGAACACGCCACGAACGCCGCTTCATTGTTATTCACCTGGTTGTTAGAGATCAGTCGACTTGCTATGAGAAAGGCGGACTACTGTCTTGGTTAGCCGTGCTGTTGATGCTTGACATCGAAGTAGACTTGCTCCCCCAGTAGTTCAGCTCCATCTCAACCGTGTAATTCTGCCAAGGAACTTGCACCTCAGAAAAGAACACTGAATACCGAACAATACTGTACACATAAGTTAGAGAAGGCTGTTTCGTGGTGGCAACTAGACGTTTGTGAAAGTATTCAGAGCTTAGCAAAAATGACACAATTCAAAAACTGTTAATCACTGAAAATCACAATAATGGCAGTACAAAAATAACATGAAAAAAACCAACGTCATTTCACTTAATGACTAAACTCCTCATGCCATAAACGTACAAATGTATGAACAACGTATGCAACATACATTATAATCACGGCAGCTTATAGCACTAATTTGCATCCTTCAACTCAGGTACTGTTTGTCTAACGATCAAGCAAATGATGAAGATGCAACAAGGCATCGTGGTACGCACTGACGAGGAGATTAATGGCACTTGTATTAGACATGTAAGCGTACAAAACAGTATACACAACAAGCAACGCAATAAACAACAAAACTATTACCAGTAACCCATATTTTATCGATTTCAAGTTAAGCTTCTTTTGAGCACTCCGTTGCTTCATGATTTTCACGTCACTTCGTGCCCTTTTCGTCTGATGGCGGCCTATCTGCTTTCGGTACTGGTCGATCGGCAAAGAATACCCGGAGGCCGCAGCGTCCTTTCTGCCCATTCCTCGAAAGATGCAGTTAAACACAAAAAAGCAAAAACAGCATAGATTCCTAGAGAGAACATCATGGGAACTGTAGAAGTGAACACTGCCAACGCATGGGCAGTATAAAGTAATTTAATATATGAGAGTCAGCAAAATCCAAAGCTAAGTACAAACTGCAGAGAATGTAAACAGCAGAAAATTTTTCATCGTCGATATCCGAAAAGGAGGTTCGACACCGCGGTGCCAAATTGCGCGTTCAAATCGAATTTCGTCAACGTGACTTTCCGAGTCTCACCCTCCTGCTTCTTCACCGAGTCTATAACCCTCATCGGCGGAACAGGTTTGATTTTGCGTCCAGCGTAGCCGTCTTTGCGATGCCACAAACCACTCGCCTGCTTAATGCCAAAACGCCGCTTCATGTGTATGCTACCCCACTCAAGTTTTCGGTAATCCAAATTTGATAGTCTGCCGACAGTTGCCATGCACTCTGGTTTGATGCACAGTTCTGCTTTGGACTGCAGCTAAAATCAGATACACAAAGTAGCGTTACAGATTGAAATAAAACTGGCAATATAAAGTATGTACAGCGGATATATTATAAGCTTAGTTGTTCTAATACCCTTAGAAGACAGACACCGTAAAAGATATATTGAACGTTTCTGGCAGATTTGCGGAAACGTATTTAAACGTCGGCTACGGTCGTGGAAAAAACAGTTACACAACGCAAAATTTAATATTTAGTTTGAGTAAACTACGCACGAAAAAGACAGTATGAAGATAATATCCACTTTTACTATATCCTAAGGTTTCGCCGGCACCTCTCACTTGACACACAAGAATAGGAGGCCAATTCGTAGTTTCTATATCATACCTGAATAACGACCATGTCATTTATCTTCCGCGTAATGGTCACAAATGTACCGGCATTTTTCGCCACCAAATAATCCTTGCCCTCGCCGGGGTATAGTTCTACGCAGTTGACCATCGTTCCTGCCACCAGCGCCCCGACCGGCCACGAATCTCCTTCTTTACCTTTGACGGGCATTTTTGGGATCGTACACGTCGTACGAATTAGATCGCCGGCCTTCATATTTTCCGTAGCCAGAATCCATCGCCTTCCCCTCGATCCGGCTACTAGTGCGACATGCGCTGTCTCGATCGGGTCGCACCTCACTTCCAGTACCTACACAGTTAAATTCAATAGTTTCAGATTTGACAAAAATTTTCTCATTTATTCTGACGTGTCGCTTTCCGGCATAAAAAAAAACATCATAGGGTAATTCACAAACATTGTCTGTGCGGTAAGCCAAAAACCGTAACTACTGTAACAGCTCGTCGCGCGGAAGGGTTCATTTCCTGAGCGATTTGCTACGTAGACATGACAGAGCAGCAATGCACTCACTTGAAGAAATGGCTTTCCACTATCACTTAATAATTTACCACTATGATGACGAGAAAAAGAGAACAAGAGAAAGAAAACAGAATTTACTCGTTCATCGTAGAAAGTTCCGTCCGTAGGGCCTACGCGATCGAAGCTGATCCACGTGAATTCGAACTTGTAGCCACCACCGACGTGTTGGTTAACCTTTCTGCCTGAAACGAGTGAAAGTTGATCAGCGGTAGATGTAGAAGGGAGAAAAATGTAAATCGACCTGTTGCCGGGTCACGTCCACCTAGACGAGGCAAATACAGAGGTTTATGTGTATATGGTCGGTCGTCGAGCACCGAGTAGTCGTACTTGTACTGTGGCAAAGGCTTCCGTTTTGGCAGAAAGCGACGGCTGACATACGACACTTGCGACGGTGCACAGAGTCTGATAGCGAGATCCGTCGCATCGGTCGTAAAGCACTTTACAGTGCTGGTCTTTACACTAAGCGAAGCGATGCATGAGAGCAGCGTTCTGCGCATAATCAGCTGCTAGCAACGTTCATGTCTAAAAGCCTTACGCAATAATAAAGCATAATCGTTAGGTGGGGGTCGCACGGTAGTTACACAATGAACAAGACGTTATCAAACTGCTATTGCGAGATGACTTCCTCTAAGAGACTCGGCGGATAGTTTGGAGAAGGCTGGTGGTTGTTGTCGTCTTTGCCAGGGATGCTTGAAGGCAGAAAATCGAAAGGGAAAGAGTGAAGGGTCAGGTCATTAAAGGCATAATCATAATCATCATAATGAAGACGATTAACGATGGGTATCTCTTCGCACATTTTTGAGGCAACAAATAAATATTTTAGACAATGCTTCTCTTCGTTTGATAACTGAGTTTCCGTGATGAAACTGAACCTGTTGCCGAACACAATGATTTGTCTCAAATTGTGTCTGTTAGCGTACAGTACGTTGTTATAAAGCAGTCGGCCGCAATGAGGCATGAAGAACAGCGTTGGCGATGAGACGGTCCTCAAACCGACCTCGTTCGTTTTGATCACTTCGAATTTCATGTTTTCGAGAAATATCATCTCTTGCTTCGAGAAAACCGGATCATAAACGAAACAGTGACCGAATGTGTCACCGTCGGACATCAGACCTCGAAGCAGGGACAGTTGGCTGAGTGACATACGGTCGAAGCTGAAATGACCCAGACCATAGCACACTACATCCACCTTCGAGAGAGATGATCCAGTGGTAACGAAAAGCTTCTTTCTCGTCACTTGCACTATCTCTTCGATGAATTTTAAATCGACCAATCTCTGGCCAGCGGCTTGCAGCCTGTTCATCAGCTGGTCAAAAGGAAACGTTTGGAGTGACGAGGGATGGCCACCAACAGGCGAGACCTTATTACTTTCGGCTTCCAATCTTTTTGAGTGCCGTCGATGACGCCTTTTGACAAGGACGAAACCATCGTCGTCAGTAGAGGTCATCGGTAGCGAACGAAGAACAACAAATCTAAAACATTTCGCATACACAGTAAAGTCGATACTTCAATCCCAACGGCACAGTTGATATTCTCCACACAAAATGAGTTACCATAGGTCAAATGGACAGCAGATAACTGCACATTAGGTGTCTATTGCAAGAAAGCGTATTGTGGCGCTCAGATCAAGTTGACCACACTAGGATTTGCAATAGTATCGACGGTCTGATCATATAAAAACTGAATATCTCCTGGTAATGATAAAAAAGGCCAGTAACTGCCAGTCAACAAAATTTACGCGACTGCAATCCACGGTACATATGCTAATAATTCTTACAGTGGTCAGTGATTCAGAAGGCACTCCTAATTGGAATTATCGAAACTTAACCAAAAAAAGCAGACTCAGTCAAAACAAATCATCAGCGTAAAACAGAAAAATAACATCTTCGGCTCTCAGCATTTCAAAGCAAACTATTTTCCAGCGAGATACACAAACAAATACAAGTATAGACAAATATATGAACAAAACTGGTATACGAGTGACTTTGCTACATTAAATAATGTGCAAAACATATCCTGTTATACACATTATCTTATGCTTGTCTGTCTACACAACGGAAAATTAACAGGCTGTCTCTAACAAACTGGAATTAGACAAAATTGCTCGCTACGCAGATTCGACCAGTGAAGGACGAAAAGCACAAATAAGAAAACCTACTATAGATGACCAATTAGGTTACACTATATAATTTAGTTTACTTGAAGGTTTAGGCGTTATTTGTGATACAGCAATCGTACATTACGATGGGCCATGTGACACAAAACAGGCGACTATTACACTGAAGGAACACCGAACGCTACATGTCTTTGCAACTACCGTAAAAATGATTTGCAGGGATTGTTTGACAGTAAGTGGAGCTACGAATTACTTTCGAAACAGTTGTTCCGTAATGTATTTGTCACACCCTATATGCTAGCATTTCAACTTCCTTTCGCTTTCCATAAGTGACGTACCTTCGACGCACGGACAACGTCAATGAATTGCGCTGCAGGGGGGCTGAAATAGACTTTTGAGCAGTACAGAGCGGATAACCCCACCTGCAGTAAGTTTGAAGCTTTTAGCGAATTTATTCGGTGTAGACTCTTGTTGTTTTGTATGCCATCGTCATTATGTTATTAACCTTTGCATCTGAGTACTAAACATTTATTGATGCCATGCAAAAAGATCCCTTTTTCAGAATTAGTAGGAATTATGATCATGTGTTAATTGCATTAAATATGGATTATAACGATGTATTAATTGTCTTATAACAGCACTAACAAACTTTGGCAATTATTGAAGCTTAGACATCAAATCTGACGAGCCCCTGCCTTTATCTTTTCATTTTTCAGCCATGTAAAAGTGACAGCTACAGTTCCTGACCACTCAACAGCTGCTAACGACAGAAGAAATTGCAGAAATCAACTCGGACCATTATGAAGAAACACTGGAACTAGTCAGTCGACTGAATAATTTATTCGATTGCTAGAGTTGCGCATAATAAATGCATTTCTCAATTTTAAGTGTATGACGAGAAGAACTGAACAAAACTTCCACAACGTTAATAAGCAGCCTCATTTTGGAAGTACCATCGCAGCAACGAGATTGGATTATGAAACTCGCTTGTACAAGTAAAGTTTATCAATTACAATATCGTAGATGCACCTAGAACGATAGGTGCGATATATACTGAATGTATGAACGGTATCGACATTCCAAAACAGAATGTAAAAATGAGGACAGAGAAAAGTTCTCCATTATGTGTTCAGAAGCGCGGGAATCCACTCTGTTCATGGATAGTTGTTTGCCTAAAACCGAAACTGTTTTTGGATATTCGAGCTTTTCACTCTCTTCCCACCCATTTGTTGAAAGACAGGAGAGCTACGCTAAGACTGCTGATCTTGGAACAGACGGTTAAATATATTAGGTTTATTATTGCAGTTAATCACGATCTTAAATCCCTTTCTTAAACTCCTTGTTTCAACCAAGGGCTTTCAAATATACTCTTACATGCATCTGTTTCATCTACACATGTAGAAAGTGGCAAAACAGCATTTGCCTTTCAATTCATGCCATGAATTCGATTCCAATAAGGCTCGGTATCCAAACAGAAATACTGAGATGGTAAGTTGCGTTTTTCCTACAAGTAGTACACCATCATCAGATACAGAATCTTGCACCGGATCGGACAGTAATCACGCAGCCAGAAATCCTTCTTTAGCTCATTTGAATACATTATGTATAGCGCGTAAGTTCACATCGATGCCGTGTTTACCTTGGAATTTTGTTAGAAAACACACCATCTACTTTAATACGATCGTTTCCTCCGTTTTCGACACAACAGTATATGAAACTTGCAGCAACACAAGTTGTTCCATCTACGAAATCACGAATTAATTTGTGCAGTTCGGTGCTTGACTTTAGAATGACGATTATACTTTACTTATGGGAATTATGAGAGTTTCAAGTCGAATTTGTTCGAAACTTACGAAGAACTGTTCCGTATCGTTCTTAACATGGGGTACGACTGTCGTCGTATCGACGGTTTTATTGACGTTTTAACACATCGCGAATGTTCCAGCACATTGACAATCGCGCGAAACTCCTTCCTATAAGATTGAAGCAAAACTGATAAGCAAAAGCAAGTATATTGAGAATTGCAGTCTGAGAAGGGCAAACGTGGAAAATACAATTTAATACTACGCATCTTAATGGTTGAAAGCATGCGACCAGAACGTGCTAACTTCTCGTACTTCGAAGTTGCTTGTTTTCGGAATGTTTCAAGCAATCAAATATTGCTACACAAATCTGGAATAAATGTTTGTTAATTGGATCAACCTAAATTTATTCTATGGCAGAATATCTTTATAATTTTTGCGGTTACTAAAGGTTAAGAAGATATACTCTCAACATTACACTGGAGGTGGTTCAGAATGTAACTGTTCGAACACAGCGTCGAAGGAAAGATACACCTAGCAAATGTCCTAGATTATCTGACTACTGTTGTTACTGGGTGCCATTCATGTTTACAAGCAATTTTCGATTAGACAGAAAAGCCACAATACCGATGATAAAATATTTCAACGATCACCGTCCGACGGCTCCAAATAGAGGCCGGAGGCTGTCAGATGCGCTGACATAAGGTTCGAAAGGTGAAAGTTTTTATATACAGTTCCGCCAAAAGAAATTATTAGATGTGCTTATCACCGTAGAAGCGGCAGCTGTGGAAGCGACCACTAGAGGAAAGATACATTTCAGCAAATCAAAGTTTCAAAAGCAATAGAAGGATGCCTAACTACACCACCGGTTGAGTCGAAGAGACAGCTAAACGCTGGAAGAATCAACTGAAATTTTTATTTAACAATATCATGAATTATTAACGCATGAAAGTTATTCATCATTCAGCACACGCTTTAAGCTTCCGTTTCGTAAATCGTTTTCGACGCTTGTAGAACTACAACAAAAGACAATATAACTACCATCGAAGCATGAAGACAAGCATCAAAAGCGTTACGTTAACCAAAGCTTCCCTGCTTTCCTTCCAACCCTGAATCGCTTCCTGCCTTACGATGGGAAAATTTTTCACCGCTCCTATCAAACCGACAAATACGTTAAGAAAAACAGCCGAATATAAAGCTATAACAAGCCAAAAACAGATAAGTATACCAATCACTTCCTCATCATTAAGCAGCAGAAAGAAAGGCCGCTGAAAGGTGTCAGCGTTGCTTTTCTCACGTTCACAGGATGGACGAACTTTCTCTTCATCGTCTTCAGCAGGAAAGGATGAACCTTTCATCGCCGCAAAGTCGAGATATGACTCATTCAAAGGCTGTACTGCTTTGGACGTCGCAGCACTAGAAGAAGCTAAATATTAAGCGACAAGTTAGATAAAAATTAGAAAAACCGGGTAACTCAGAATTTTCGTGACTACTGCGTAGTTTAGAAATTCTTTCGCAAAAAAAACTTTAGGCATGAGAATACAAAAATGCAAATAGAAAATTACAGATTATTTGTTGAGATGTACAACTGTTTCACGCAATCCTGAAAACAAAAGTCTAATTGCGAGGAACTGACAGTTCGCTAGCAGAAAGTCTGTAATGGACGCTTGTCAGTGGTGTCACTTGTGGCCTGCCTCGTCTACTGAGCATATGGTGAAGCTCTGACCCATTTTCGCATACGAGCAGGCAGGAATGCGTTAACTTTATGAGATACTACAAGTAGGCTGACGAGGACAATATCATGCTCCTCTTCTTTTCCATATTGTGAGAGCTTCTTTACTTGTCTTGGAAGGATGGAAGGCGAATTACCTTGTTATGCAAACGAGCATTTATCATACTCCTGGCGAAGCATAGCGCATATAAACGGACGAGTCTACGACTCACAGTTGATTCTGAACAGCGCACTGTTCCACTCATTAAACGACGCGAGATGCAATCATGTACTGCATATACCGTAATATTACGAAACCATCGTCAACTTAAATCGTAGTCTTCCTGTTTTAAAAGCAACAGACAATGAAATGATTTCGCGCAATACGACAGGGTAGAACTGCGTTCACTAATGATGGCATTGAAAGACTATTTTATTTATATGTAAATTTAAGTGGATGTTAGCAATGTAGAGTAAAATCTTCTTCAAAGTAATGAGTTAGAAGACTGAGTAGCAAATAACGTTTCACTCCAGCCCTCAGCAGAGATAAACCATAATTACGTAACCAGCGTGATCGAAATTTACCTTATTACATCAGAAAGATATAGAAGGCGCATCTGTTGTCTGATGAACTGCTATTTTCGTTGCGTGAAAGGCCAGTCTGTTAACAGAGGTGCTGTTCAGACTAACTCTGGATCTCTAACCAGTGAAGCAAAAGATTCTTGCCCTTACTTGTCAACAGCGAGTCAGCGCGAACTTTAGAAGAGAGTAGAAAAATAATTTACCCTCTTTCGAAGATTCTGGATTACCGTTGCGGCCAAGGG